TGTAGATTAGTTATGAAGTTATTTAAACAATAACATCAACACTTATTTTCGCGAATATGACATTCTTGGCTCTTTTTCTACAAAAACGAAATTAATAATGTGGTTTTTACTCATAATGAAATCTTTCAATAACTTAAATCTAAGATTATTTCTATCAATTTTTAATGACATAATTTTTTTTATAACTTAGAAGAATTTTTAAAACTCAAATGAAAAGTAATGATAAACTTATTTGTATACTCGTTAAAATTAAGTGCGATTTAACTTGATAACATTATTATAATAATTAATAATTATTTATTTTTACGAAAAGCGCGGTAAACAATTCATGTTAACTATGCAATAGTAAAATAAAGCGACAGAAGACAAACCGATCTAAACGATCGAATTTCTGAAAACCGCTTACACACTTATTATAAACCTGGATCATTTTAAACCAGTTTAGTATATCGAATTTCTAGTTTTGAAGAATAATTGTTTTGCAGAACATATTAAGATAGTAATATAACAGAATATATTTTGATAACATATTTAATATTTTTTTAATTGTTCTGTGGTAATATGGTTGATACCATTATTGTTCTGTGATACCATGAAGATTGAGCTATGTTCATGGTTCATGATTGTATTTGATAATTTGATAGTAATATTTTTATCATAAACTAAGATAAGGTTGTTTATGTTGTGAGTTGTGACATAGTTCATAATTATTATTTCATTACCTACCGGCTACGTTAAACTTTGTTGTGTGGTCGACGGTTATTGTAAACTACTTACAATTACAATAATCTGTATTATACATTATACCTACATGTTCCTTAATTTTCCACTACACACGTGTTTGTATTAGATTAATTAAAAAATGGGCAAAACGAAAAAAGAACATCCAGGTAATTTTTATAGTTGTTTACTATAGTTCAAGAATAATTTATAGACTTTAGTACTTTCAATACAATATGATATCCCCAAATTATACAGATATAATACTTAAGTTGAATTGTACATCTTGAATCAAAACAATTGTTAATTTTTATTTTTTATGGGGTTAAAAATATTATATCATTAACTCGCTAGACCAATCTGCTACTAATGAAATTAAAATATTTAACAAATCTATCAATAGTATAATATACTATTTACTTTTATAATTATTGTTTATATTCTTTTAATGAATATTAAAATATTAGTATTATATTTTTTTATATTAAAGAATTATAAGACAACTTATTAAAATATATGTTTAATGATCATAAAATTTTAACATTTTAATTATCTAAAAAAAGTATCATTATTAACTATATATAATTCACTATTAATTTTTTTATCCATTTCTATAGTTAGTAAATAATAATACAATTTTAAAAAGAGGTGAATGAATTGGGTATTATTATTTTTATTCAAAACTTGTATTTTTAAAATTAGTAATTGTATACACTATTTATAAATGATTATATTTTAAATTAAATTTATTTAGCTATATAATATATATTTTATAATGTATTGGTAATTTTTCTAAATTATTTAATAAATATTTCTCTTTTTAGAGAAAAGAGGCAGAAAACGAAAGAAGGATGATTTTGATGAAAATTCTATGGGATTGGATGATCCTGTTCTATTAGCTGTTAATGAAGAAGGTAATTAGTTTAAATGTATTTTAAATAATTTAATTACACTAATGAATTTACATTTTTAAATAATATTTTCTTTAATTTATAATTCAGAGGGTTTACCAAGTGCCGCTAAAAAATCTGCCGAAACTGCAATAAACAGTGTTGAAGATGAGTTTGGAGCTAAAGACTATAGATCACAGATGAACCTTAAAATAGATCACGCATCTCGACCATTATGGGTTGCTCCTGATGGACATATATTTCTTGAATCATATTCTCCTGTGTATCGCCATGCTCATGACTTTATGATTGCTATTGCTGAACCAGTTTGTAGACCAACTCATTTACACGAAGTAAATATTTTTGTTTATTGTGTATTTTTAAAATTTGTTAGATTTTATAACTTAAATAAAATTTATTTTATTGTTTATTTCAGTATAAATTAACTGCTTATTCATTATATGCAGCTGTAAGTGTTGGATTAGAAACTAATGACATAATTGAATACTTAAAACGTTTGAGTAAAACAAGTATACCTGATGGTATAATAGAGTTTATAACTGTGTGTACACTTTCTTATGGAAAAGTTAAACTTGTACTTAAACATAATCGATACTTCATTGAATCACAACATCCAGATATTTTACAAAAGCTTCTTAAAGATCCTGTTATTGGTTCTTGTCGTCTTAAAAGGCTGGAGGATACTGATGCATTAATCACTGAAGAACAAAAAGTAGAAAAATCACATGTAATATATTTTTATTTATTTCTATTTTCTTTTACAATATACTTTTAGAGTTAGCAAATTACTTTTTAGTTACTAAAAAAAAAAATTAGTTTTAATATATTAGAATATACTTATTAATTTTTTATCAAAAAATATAACATAAAATGTAATACTATTTTGCAGTTATTTATAAATAATTAATGAAGTCATTATTGCATAATAAAATAAATATTGCTTTTTTTCTAGTTTCCTGGAGATTCTTCAAAAGATAAAGAAGATCATTTGAACGATGTAGTTCCAAAAGATATAACAGATTTATATGAAAAAATTGATAAAGTTGAAGAAGAAGAAGAAGAAAAAACACAAAATCTTGTATCATTTGAAGTTCAACAAGAAAAAATTGAAATTATACAAAAGCGTTGTATCGAGATAGATACACCTCTTTTAGTTGAATATGATTTTAAAAATGACAAAATCAATAAAGACATTAAGTAAATATAAAGATTCATTTAATATTAAACTATTTAATTTTACAAGTAATAACTTTTAATTTAAATATGTAGTATAGATTTAAAACCTCAAGCAACATTAAGACCTTATCAAGAAAAGAGTTTGAGAAAAATGTTTGGTAATAGTCGTGCAAGATCAGGAATTATTGTGTTACCATGTGGTAAATATAAACCATATAATTTACTAATAAAATTTAATATATAACTTAAAGTTGTCATCTGATAACTTAATATAGTTCTAAACCAATATTTTTCAGTATTTACTAAATCTATTATTAATAAAACAATTGGTATCCGACATGGTCAATTTACTGCTATAGACTTAAGTTTAAATAATACTTGAATAGCAATATTTATTTAATAAATACTTTTGATAATTTTGTTTGTATTAATTGTCAGCTACTGGGTATGGTAAATTACCAGGAAAATTATTGAACTGAAGTGGTGCTAATTGAATAGTCTACCAAGTTTTAGGATAAACTTTGTATAAGATTTTTTAAATTTTAAAAATTTGTACTTTTTTTAGTGAGCTAAAATATTTTAAATATAATGTTTACATATTAAATGTTGTTTTTAGGTGCTGGAAAAAGTTTAGTAGGTGTAACAGCTTGTTGTACTGTACGTAAACGTGCATTAGTCCTATGCAATTCAGCGGTATCAGTTGAACAGTGGAAATATCAGTTTAAAATGTGGTCAACAGGTATGTATTATCATTTGGAAATTTAAAGGAATACATATTTAAAATTATATGATTTGTTCCATAGCTGATGATAGTTTGGTGTGCAGATTTACATCTGATGTTAAAGACAAATTAATGGGTTGTGGTGTGTTCATTACAACTTATTCAATGATAACACACACACAAAAGAGATCTTGGGAAGCTGAACAAACAATGAAATGGATTCAAGAACAGGAATGGGGTATAATGGTATTGGATGGTAAGAAACATAACTATCACAGTTTTTTCAGCAGAAATTAATATGTATTATGTTTATTTCAATTTCTTAGAAGTACATACTATACCAGCTAAAATGTTCCGGCGTGTATTGACACTAGTTCAATCACATTGCAAATTAGGCTTAACAGCCACATTATTACGAGAAGATGATAAAATTGCCGATTTAAACTTTTTAATTGGTCCTAAACTTTATGAAGCTAACTGGTTGGAATTGCAACAAAAAGGTTATATAGCCAAAGTTCAGTGTTCAGAAGTATGGTGTCCAATGGCTCCAGAATTTTATCGTGAATATTTAGCTACTAGAACGTGTAAAAAAATGGTATTGTAATACAATTTTGTTTCCAAAACAATATAATAAATGTTACTATTAACGTGTCCTTTGTACAGCTTTTTTTTGTGATGAATCCAAATAAATTTCGTGCTTGTCAATTTTTAATACGTTATCATGAACAACGAGGAGATAAAACTATTGTATTTTCTGATAATGTATTTGCCCTTAAGGAATATGCCTTAAAATTAAGTAAGCCTTTTATTTACGGACCAACATCTCAGGTAATAAATCATAATTAATATTTTAAAGTTCTTCATAATTAATATGTATATATTATTTTTATATGTGAAGGCAGAAAGAATCCAAATATTACAAAATTTTAAATTAAATCCAAAAGTGAATACCATATTTGTCAGTAAAGTTGCAGATACATCATTTGATTTACCAGATGCTAATGTTCTTATACAAATTTCCTCCCATGGTGGAAGTCGACGTCAAGAAGCACAACGTCTAGGTCGTATCTTACGAGCTAAGAAAACTGCAATTGCCGAAGAATATAATGCATTCTTCTATACCTTAGTGTCACAAGACACAATGGAAATGAGCTATTCAAGAAAACGGCAAAGATTTCTTATCGATCAAGGATACAGTTACAAAGTGGTTACAAAACTGGCTGGAATGGATGAGGTAATTTATACTTGAATAAAAATTGGTATACAACCATTTTGTAATTATATTGTTTATTTTACTTTAGGATCCAGAGCTTTTTTATTCTAGTAGAGAAGACCAAGGTTTATTATTAAGTAAAGTCTTAGCAGCCAATGACGCAGATGCTGATGAAGAAAGAATGCCGTATGAGGGTACATCCAAGTCCTATAAGAAAATGTCTGGTAAAATGAGTTCTATGTCTGGTGCTGATGATGCAGTTTATGCAGAATTCAGAAGAAATTCTGGTGTAAAACATCCATTGTTCAAAAAATTCAGAAAGTGATGTTTAAAATAATATCATGTTTTTTATCTAATAAAATAAATGTTAAATTTTTAATCAAATCAAATGCTTGTACTCTAATAGTATTAAGTTTATAAAACAAGAATTAAAACTATCTATTTTGCTTACCGTTATTTGTTTTATTTCTTAGGACTTATTATTGTGATAAATTCTAAAACAGAAAATATTTTTATTGTTTTTATTCAATTAAAAATATTAACATTTATCCTTACCTTTATAATCAATTTTTTTATCACCATTTAAATCAGCTTCTTTTATCATATCTTCAATTTCTTCATCAGTGAGTCGTTCTCCAATACTGCACATAACACGTTTGAGTTCATCGAATGTTATGAATCCATCACCATTTTTGTCAAATACTCTAAATGCTTGGTGCATTTCTTCTTCGCCATCTACCGCTCTCAGTTTTCTAGCCATCATTAGTAGGAATTCATCAAACTCAATACTACCATTGCCATCTTTATCTACTTCTTTAACCATACCTCTCAAATCAGTTTCTAAACATAGGTTTATAAAAATTTCAGATTCAATAGTTATTTGTTAAGTATTCTTTTAGATTCTGAGGAGATACCTAGATGTATTAATGCTATAATAATTTTTTTTGTGTATCGTGTTTTCTTTAAAATGAGTTTGAGGTAGCAAATTTAATTTAGTTGATACTTTTAGAGAGGGAAGTATAAGGTGAATTATTCTTATAATCTTATTACTCTTATTAAAATTGTTAAAAAATTGACAAATCAACATGGGAAACAGTAATATTTACATAACATAAATTTACAATATAAAACTATTTTGTTTTTTCTTTTGTTCTGATCATAAGAAGAACACTATTAAATATTTATTTTACATTTTCCATACACCATAAGTGATAAGTGTTTGCTCTCTGTAAGATATTTATGAGCATTTAACATTTTTTCAATATTCTAATTTCTATGATAATACAAGTACTTATTACTCGCCAATTCGATCAAAACGTTTAGAAATGTATTAAAAAGCTCCTAAATTGTCTTTATAGTAATTTAAAATTATTAAAATATTATAATTTAAATCATAAAGATTTACCTACCAGTAGGCTTCTGTCCCAGAGATCTCATAACCACTCCTAGTTCTGCCTCAGTGATCCGTCCATCATGGTCTTTATCAAACAACATAAATGCTTCTTTGAATTCTAAACAAAAAAACTAATTCATGAATATTATTTTTTTATTTAAGTATGGTATAAACTAAAAAGCATTGAAAGTTACAAACTTGGGCACATTAACTAATTATATATATTTGTGAAAATTATGTACAAAGCTAAAAGTTCAAAAAATATAAATAACAAATATAATAAATAATATGTACCTAATATTTAATAATAATTAATAATTATATCATATAGGTAATAACTTTATTTTGTTAATGTTAAAATATTTTGTATCTATCAAACCTTATTCACAATCTTTATGATCATAATAAAATAATTGTTGAAATATAACTTATTCTAGGTACATAGTTTGGAAGTTAGCTCGTAATATCTGTCAGTTATTTATGTTATCTATACTGACTATATTATTGCATTATCCATACAGTATACACAATACATTGTTTTATGTAAATTTAATATTAGGCATTTGGAGTTAAAAATGTAATTTTGTTCTCAAAAATACATTTTACGAGAATAATGATCCTATCGACCTATTTTGGAGAACTAGCTAAATTTAGTTATTTATTTTAACAATAGGTAGAAGGAAATATTCTACAACTCGCATTAAATTCTGTTTGTCAATATTTTAATCTAAAAGTTAAATATGCCATTAAAAAAAAATATTTATATATATATATATAATTTTAAGCTATTTTTACATATATTTGATAGAAAATAAAATTCGATGTTTAACACAAGCTGTGTAAAGTCTTCTTATTTTAGTAAAAAAAATAGTTATTAAAATCTAACAATGCAATGAGATTTGAGAGTTTTTACTGTGAAGTAATTTTCGTTTATATGGTAGGTACACCGCATCTCCCAACCTTTTCTTCTAATCAGTATCTAATAGGAAGTATATAAGTGAAAAAGTATTATAATCAGAATGACAACTAAAATATTATATGAATCTACAAATTGTAAGGAATTGCGAAAAATTTGAAAAATCGACGTAGGAAATATAAATGATGAAATAATACGATTGTGTATAGCTAAAATTATAGTTTGTTGTGTACAATATTATTCTAAGGAAAAATTAAGTTGAGTAGCGCACAAGTAGCAATTTATTAATTATCACTAACAATACAGCATACACTAAGTACTTACGTCAATTGTCAGTCTTTGGAAACTTTATATCATTATACGTAGCACTAAGTAATAGTATATATTATACTAGCCAATACGTACAATAAAATATTATGTTCATTCTACCGTGCGAATACCTATTCTAGTATTCTATACATACGAATATTATGGATATATATTTTTAGCGTCGACTGTTATTACAATTTAGATAAAATTATTATTATTTTATAAGTCATATTACATAGGTATTTAGTACCTACCTATAATAAAGGCCAATGACCACATGTCTTATATAATATGTTTTAACCACAATTCAAAAATCGCCTGAACATTTATTTTAACAATAATAAACGGTTTATTAATTGTATTAAATTTATCTTTGACAAACACTTTTCCTAATTTATTCATTACATTAAGATTATATTGTAATGTAGATTAAAGGTTTTATATGGCTATATTCCAGTAGGTATCCCATTTGCATTGGAATCATTGGATGAAAAAACTTGCGTATCTAGTGGTTATTCTCTGTCATTATAGACTATAGCAGAATACAAAATTACGTGCAATTTACATTTAGTCGACAAAACACATATTCATTGCCATTATTATACATTGAGAATGCTATTCTTAAACTTATCGGTTGATTCGATTTAATAAAACAAGTTTTCATCAAAGAGACTGCGAAAAACACTATAGTTTTTTAATATAAATTAATAATATAAAATCTTTATTTATGCATTTTTATAATTTATTTTATATGTACCAACAATCATAATGAGAATAAACAAATTGTATTACTATTATAAATTAATAATTTAATAGCCAATTGTTAGATAGTTATTTTTATTTATATTATAATCCTTGCCTCCGCAATTGTTAAGTAGATACCTACTTGTTACATTTTATTTTATAAGTAATGCCATTTCTTTATTATTTTAGACAATAAGATATTGAAGGAATTAATACGCTAGGCTATAATATAGACAATGTAGTATATAAAATAATATTAATATATTGTATTGTATTGTAATTAAGTTGCTTTATACGTTAAATAATACAACAGTAGGTAACTAATTGAATAAATAAATATACAAAAAAATTTACCTGCAACTTGATCTTCAGACAAACCATATTCATTCTGAAATAAAATTTTGTTGTAAGTATTCTTACTTCTCACTTAAGTTATTTAAAATAATAAATAGTGTTAGGTAGTACTGATTGAGTCCGTATGTCATATCTACTCGTCAGTTTTCTTATTCTCGAATATTCATTTTTATAACGGTCATTATCGCTATTTTTTGCACTCATTGTACTTTGTATATCTGTAGACGATTATTTGATTGATTTATACAAATTAATAAATAATAACTTTAGTTATTTTTTTTTAAATAAAAATATGATTTAAGAAACTAAAAGTTTGAACCACATTTTTCGGGTAAATAAAACATGCGACCGTGCACGGTATAATTTTACTATAAGTATACTAGTATATATTTACGAGAAAAATAAAAAGAAATTGGCGTCGTCATCTTCAGAAAGTTGGATGTGTTTATTATTTTTGTTATTAATATATATTAATACACGTATTAACGTCTCCCACTGTAGAAAATAAGCCAATTTATTTTTAGATGAAAGTGTTAAACACTTAAATTGCTACTGGATGAAAAATTATACACAATACTAATAAAGAGGTAATAGTAACTGAAAAAATACGTAAATTAATACAACTTTTTATAAATTATATTTTTTTCGTGAATAAATAACATATATAATCAAATTTATTTCATATCCATATTTTATAGGAATTTATTGGTTTTTAAAATAATAATAATAACTATAATTTACGGCGATTGTTTATTTTTATAATTAATTTAAACGTGTCTGACAGTTACTGGCAGTTAGTAAGATAATTAATAGCATTTAGGTACCTAAAGATTTCGGTGCAAACGAATTGCGTTCCGATAATATTTAACAACTATACTAATTGCGTCCATATAAATACATTATTTTCTTTCCCATTTATTACAGACTTAAGAAGACTCAATAACAACTTTAAATAAATATTATATTGTTTAAGGTAGGTTAAAAATATTGTTTTTTTTTATCGTTTCGTAATTATGTACATCAAAAATATTGTTTTCGTCGTTAAATATAAAAATATAAGTTATAATGTGCAAGTTATATATATATATATATATATATATGTTATAATATTATTTATGGCTCTGAAAAAATTTGAACGATACAGTTTTGACAAAATCAAAATGGACAAAACGTGTTATTTCGTTCATGTCGTATTTAATAATTTCTTTTCTTAATAATTATTGTTTTTAACATATTTCACGTCTTATTTTCTTTATTAAAATGATATTGCGAATTTTTATACAAGTATATTTTAGTACGTTTTTAAGTATATCAATAAAATTATTAATATTTTAATGAGCAAAATAAAATATACAGTTAAATGTTGAATGAAAAGCTCCACAGCTATTTGTTGTGTGATTAATTGAACCTATTAGTTTTTAAATATTATCGGGACGCAATTAGTATATAGTAAAAAAAAAATCCGGGACGCATTAGTATGTCACAAATCGCAATTTTTATAACAGAAACGCAATTGTATGCAGCTAAAGATTTTTAATTTGATCCAAATAATAAAATACGGATGTGTTCAGTTTCATTGAAAAATATTTTCTTATAAATCAAATTTCAGTCAAACATTTAGGGAGGGAGGTTTAAAAATTCAAACCATAAAATATTATACATTTTGCAACGTTATATATAACATATTAAATAAAATATTAGCAATAAAGGCAAATACAAGTATGAATATTAACTAGAAACCTAAACATAAATACTATACCTGTCTTAACTTCAATACGGTTTTAATTTTATAGGTTTAATTGCTTGAAACAGGGGCGTCATTTTAGGTTTTTTTGGGGTATGCGAAGTTTCAAACAGGCCATTTTGAAATTTCACCAGGCTATATAAAAAAAGATATACGTATATCATGTACAAAATCCTGCTTTTAATTATTTCCAAGTATCACATGTACCAAATTATTGCATCAATATAAATGGGAAAAATCAATTTAAAAACTAAAATAGAATAAATAATTAATAGTATACCAATATTAATAAATTTCAAAATTAAAATTAAAATACCATTTAAGATAAAATATTTTTAACCACTTACTCCTTCCAAAGTATCTCATTTGGATACTAGAAAGGATATTTAAGTCAAAGATTGAAACATTTTTACTGTTCCAAAAAGTAATTATAAACTCAAAAATAAAAATAATTGACAATTCAATTCTAAAATTGTATTAAATAATTTTAAAAATTAAAGTTATAATAATTATTATTAACTAGCAGGTTACAATATAACTTTTTTATTATCAGGTGATTTGTAAACAATCAAAAATATATAAAATCTTCCCATTTCAAAACAGCTAATTAAACTACTACCCTAATCCAATTTTATATTCCTCTGTCTAACATACTTCTGTGGTTGATTACCTATGACCTTTGTATAACACAATTATAAGAAATTGTTACATATCTATTAATATTTTAAATATCATGTATCTACTAGTTACTACCTAATACAATTAAGGTTAGGCGTAAAAATACATATTATAATTTACTTATTCTAGTAATCTATTTTTGATGAACTAGGTATGTTATGACAAAAATTGAAATGTTGATTTTCTAAAAATTAAAACTCATAATTCATAATATATAAAACAATAATTTATTTAATAGATACATTGAATTAATAGTATTTTAAGTATTATTTTAATTAATATCATGAATTAATACATTTGCATCACAACTCAAAGCTATGAGTGTGATAAAATTCTCTGTAAACGACTGGTTAACTGGTAAAAATGATTACAATTTGTTCTTAATTATACTACTGCATTAGTGCTTAAATTTTGTAGTGAAATAAATTGTTAAATAAGTAACTATGTATAATTGTCAAAAAGCATTTTATAATTTAAGCTTTAAAATAAAATAAAATAAAAAAGAGAAATTTTTCATTCTTATGTCAGTTCAAACAATGTTTTCTCTTCGGGTTATTTGGAGTCAGGCGAACCAATTGTTTAAACTGTCCACGTATAATAGATGAGAACGGTTTCGATGTTCTATTCAACCCAAATTCTTCACATGTATTTAGAAAGGTATCTCGCAAGAATGGTATTAAACTGTGATCTAAAGCGGGAAATAAATGATGCAGTGTATGGTCACTAAACGTCACCAAAGATACAAATATATTATCAGTTATTTCGTTCCGTTCCGTGCTGGTATCCATTTGATGAAGTCCCCAATCGATGTCTTTATCACTAATTAAGTAATACAATTATACGTTAGTAAGTAATTTTATCTAATTAAACTTATAAGTACAGCTATCACCTATCTCATTAAATCAATGGCAAAAAAAAGTCGTTCGGCCAAGTGGATACCATTATGTTGTGCAATGTATCTAATGTGTCTATTGTGAATCACTATAAATTTTAATCAATATATCACTGAATAAGAAAAACGAGTGAATAAAGTCCATGTGCCAAACTTTATCATTATGTATATTTCATACTTAAGTTTTTTATTTTTAATATTGCAATTAAATTTTATATTTAATTAAATCACTCATATTATATTGTTATTACTAATTATTAACTTATAGTCAATACTGATATTGATATACAGTAACGGCTATCTCATTATAATTCATGCTGTATTCAACAACACTGTTACTAAATAGGTGTATGATTAATAATCATAAGTGTTTTAAATAATACAAAAATAATAACATACTAGATATACTCGTATCTATAAAACTAATTTAATGTTGGGAAGATGGCTCATTTTCATATTATACTATTCTGTTATTTGTATACGTGTATAGTTAATTCTAAATTTTATTTAATGTTATTATTCATTTTAATAAATATATTATAAGATGTATAATTCTAAAAAAATGTTTAGTAATATTAATATTACTTTAATAATAATCATTAGGTATTCATTACATAATCAGTAATCACTATTATAAATGAGAATTAGCATTATGTTAATTATTCAACTAATGAATAGGTAACAATATTATACAATATTTGTTTTATTTTTACTTGATATGGTCTCCGTCATGGAAGTTATTAGGAAAATGATGAGAAACACTAAATCCAAGGAATGAAAAGACAAAGCTACTCGTCAGTATCATAACAAGCCACATATTAAATACTGAACCAATGGTCATGTGACCACAAAACATCAATATAACAGGAATAACGAACATTAAAAGATCAGCTTTATCATTCTTGCGTTTGAACGTTCTGAAATATATATTATAATGTTTACTGTTTAGATATGTAGTATATACTCATATATATATACGATATTATTATACAACATTTTTAGGTGTGATCTTACAACATTTCTAAATCCTGATGGTTATAATAATTTTTTAAGCTTACCTAATGACAAATTGCCCTGGTGCAATGAAAGGATATGCAACAAGAGTAAGATACGGTACATAACGAACTAATAAAGGTTTGTCATTGGTTGGAAACCAATGAATAAATGGATGCAATAATGTCATCTCTAAGTCTTGTATAGTATTGGTATAAACGTGGTGACTGATTACATGCGATATTCTCCATTCTCTATGTATTTGAAATTAAAAATATTATAACTATTACTAAAGTAAATTATTGACAATTAATAAAGCTATTATATTGTACATAACCTACCGCACTGAAAACAAGCTTAACTGCATGTAATACATCCTCCAATTGTCCTTAAGGTGAGTGAAATTATGACTTGCAACGGTTCCAAGCGCTAAACTGATACCCGCCAATAAGGCCAAAAATATGCTTTGTGTTTGAGCGACTGTTACGCAGAGGATTAGTGTTGCGAAGAACCAAGTGTCGATAACCAGTATAGATTTTATGGTAATATCACGATAGTTAATGTCAGATAGTTTTTTATTAACTCTAAACTTTAATACATTATAAAATCCATCAGATTTAAACGTGAAAGGTGATTTCCTCGGTGCCTTTGCTTGACACACGTAGAATTTACACATCACTTCCGTTGCGGCTTTTTGATTAATATGATATGTTTCAAATAATTCTGTAATATCCGTACCCTAAATATATGATGCATACAGCATACATTACTTAATATATACAATTATAATGATTAAATTAAATTTGAGATTTTTCTGTCAATATTTGTTATTTACAAAATTATTCGATGATAAGTTACAATTAATAAATTAATAAACCAAATCACTTTTTCTTCTATAGGTACCAATTATATAGTATTATATTAAATGTCTATATTACTTCAAAATAAAATAAAAGTTTTCGTTATTGACACGGGTGAGTATTCGTCAATAAAAATAATATTAGTAATAATAACTAGTCATTTGAAACTTAAAAATTAGTAAAAAATATATTTATCAGAATTTAGAATATTATATTACTTTGTATATA